TGCAGAAAATGTGTTTGATTAATAACGATTAGCAGAAAACAACAATGATTAGATAAAAAATATGATTTTATATGAAACAAAAATAAAAATATAATTTTCACAGAAAAAAATCAGGGAAAAAAACATGCATTTTCATATTGATGAACATCTGAAGCTGAATTTGAAATCCCTACTGATGTCTATTGTTTAAAATACATATATAGAATTTCACTCTGATTTCCGAAAGGAGATGTTTTTAAGTATCCATGAGACTGCACTTCGTTATAATTCAACCCTAGAAGTAGATATAATGCCTCCATGATTCAACAATAATTTGAGGTACATGAAGAATCTATTTTAAGCGGTTTACTTTCATGACATCAGATTAAGCCATTCGAAGCAAACATTTTATTACATAAGGTAATGAATAATAAATTTACAACGCTGATAAACATCCATTTTTCGTTTTGTTTTTTTCATTTTTACTGTTATTTTTTATTGTTATTCATCATTATGTAATAGGTTTGAAAAATACAAAATGAATAGTGGATAATGAATAGTGGATGTACTTCAGCGCGATAGATAATTTATATACATAATGTATATTGTATATGAGATAAAAATAAAATTATGCGACAGCTTAAATTCATACAGTTTTCATTCTTTCAGAAATAGAGCATTTCCGGTCATTGTGACGTCATATTTTCTGCAGACATTCTTTTGATAAATACTGACGATTCGTAATATACATACCAAGAAACAATTAATTTCAGCTTTATGATCAGAGGAAATATTTTGATCCAGTCAAAATCAGTCTTGAGTACAATGTAAATAGATTTTATAACCATGAAATTTCTGATTTTCTTTGTCTGTCGATCTCCGTTGGAATGTTAATCGTATTTTTATTTGATGAAGTGTTGTGTTATTATCCGTTTTTTAATTGATTTTATTATATTCTTTAAGTGTTATTGTTGTATCTAAGGTGATAACCACCAAATTACGCGTTAAATTGACCTGAATGATGTCTAAGAACCTAGCAGAATAAGAATTGGTTAAATTCTATGTAAATTAATGGAGAATAATGTGAAAATAATTTCCATAGCTCTTGCTTTAAAGAACATTTTATCGTTATAGTCATAGAGAAAAGTCACTATGAAGTCCTTGTTTCATGGAAAGGAAACATGGACTTTGTCGCAATTATGTCTAAATTTTTCATTTTTTTTTTTGTTGTGACGGACCGAACGACTTGAAATATATAAAATCTTCCGACAAACATGATCATGGGGTGACAAACATGATCGTGGGGTTTAGATTTTGTAGTTCTTTAACGAAAATGCAGCCAAATATTTGTTTGTGAAAGAGATATCGAGCATTTAGATACACATAGTTTGTTTTAAGAAGGGAATCATCATAGTTTGTTAATACAACTCGGATTATCTTAAATTGACGGCAGTAAGATTTTTTTTTATTTATAACACATTTGTTTACGTTTCACGTTAATGATATGACTAAATACTCCTAATCGCTATATTTCAATTCCCATGAACAACACGTAGCAGGTATATTATAACTTTTCAGATCACAATAGTTCACCCCCAGTGTGTTTGATGGGTAAACGTAAGCTCTATCTGTAGTGTGTTGTGGACTGATAGTTGTCTGTGTTTTGTGAGTAATTGTCAGATCTATCTGTAGTGTGTTGAGGACTGATGGTTGTCGGTGTTTTGTAAGTAATTGTAAGCTCTGTTTGTAGTGTGTTGTGGACTGATGGTTGTCGGTGTTTTGTGAGTAATTGTAAGATCTATCTGTCGTGTGTTGTGGACTGATGTTTGTCTGTGCTTTGTGAGTAATTGTAAGATCTATCTGTAGTGTGTTGTGGACTGATGTTTTTCTGTGTTTTGTGAGTAATTGTAAGATCTGTCTGTAGTGTGTTGTGGACTGATGGTTGTCTGTGTTTTGTAATTAATTGTAAGATCTATCTGTAGTGTGTTGTGGACTGATGGTTTTCAGTGTTTTGTGAGTAATCGTAAGCTCTATATGAGTGTGTTGACGATTTGTGTTTGTCTGTGTTTTGTGATTAAGTGTAAGATCTATCAGTGGTGTGTTGTTGACTCTCCAGTGTCGAAGAGAAACTGACAACGCCAGACCAAATAACGAAGCACGACGAAAGTCTACAAAACACAGCATATAAAACTAAAGACTTAGCAATAGTAGAATAATTAATAACCAGACGCGATCTCATGTGTTTCGGAAGGGCAAACAGATCCTGCTCCACTAGTGGCACCCGGCATGTTGCTCACGGTAAGTACAAATTCGGTGATCAATCGCAAACGGTGATGTCACAATCGAGGAGAAGAGCACGGGATTGGGGTACGACAATTGGAGCACCTGAGATCATCCCCAGTTTTTGGTGGGGTTCGTGTTGCTTAGTCTTTAGTTTTCTATGTTGTGTTTTGTGTATTAATGTTTGTCTGTTTGTCATTTTTCTTTTTAGCCATGGCGTTGTCAGTTTATTTTTGATTTATGAGTTTGAATGTCGCTCTGGTATCTTTCGCCCCTCTTTTTTTTACCATATCCGTGACCATCTGTGACACAGATATTCCACAACGGTTAACCAACTCGTGATGGCTTCCTTAAAACTTTCGATAATTGATAAGTGCTTTATTATTAAGAAAAACAAAAATCCACTACTGAAAATTTATGTATATGTATAAGGTTCACTTTAGAAGGTGTTTAAAATCAAAATGTTGAAAAAAGACGTGACGGATAGTGGCATACCCAGGCAAGAGTATTACACGTACAAATTAAAGTTTTTACTTTTGTCAAAAACACATCCAGTTTCGGAATCAGTCTTTTGTATATACGCTACATCACATACTTCAATCTTGATTTTAAATTTCAGGATTTAATTTAACACAGCTACAGTTAGTGTGTCACATAAAAGTCTGATCTATTGACTTTCCTGTACTTTAACTACAAATCGATGTCGATTTAAGTGATACTGTCATGTGAATCACCAATAACTTTTATAGAAATAACTTCATATTCTCATGAGAGAGGTTTTACATTTTCGATGAAAATTATTATTATGTATGAAAGAAATGTGAGTGAAAACGTAGATAAGACATCAAGCTAGCAACCCAAAGATGAGCCATTCAGATATCTTGATATAAGCATACGACAAGTACCTGCTAAATTCGACACTGTTATATGAGAGGGAAAACAGTAGTATTTCATCTTTTATCTACCTTTTTACTCAGGTGAAGAACATCAACGTTGGAGCACAATGATCAGATGTATGAATAATCTTTAATGTTTTTAAAATAACTTTAGAATGTATTACTATTGGACTCAGATAAAAATCCAGTCTCGAATTGACAAAGAACCAGAAATGGTATTAATAGGTCTTTTGCATTTTCCTTACTTTTTGTGATATAAAAGAATTAAAATGATGTAATATGATTTCGCTCGTGTTGCATTTGAATAGCTTCCATAATCTTAATCTCTTACTTTTTAAATCATCCACTCTTTCTTTAGATATTGGAAATTCTTAACTTTGAATAAATGTCTACACGAGATTGATAGGCCACAGTCGGTAAAAAAGTCAAAAGCATAAACACGAATGGAGGTGGAAATGTGCATACATGCACTGATCATAAAAGGGAATTCTGAACGATAAAATGCTATAAAACTATCAACATGAATTGGAAGAGACAACGTACCTTCTCATGCAAAATTTGATTCATGTCCATTTAAGCTGCTGTTGATGTGTCCTCGTCATTTACCCCGTATGTGCCCTTTTATTTCATTTTAATACTAGTAGCTGTTTCTGTTCAGATGAAATTATGTCCCTTCGTCCGAACATTTATTTAGTTAACTCAGTCATGTCATAATGATTTTTATAGTTGCAATGTATACTTTCAAGACAGAATAATTTGAGGAATAAAAGACAACTATAAAGAGTACAGAAATAACAATCAAACTGGTAATATATCTCTTTTTTATATTACCTATGAGGTCTGTTTTTTGTAATAGACTCATTTTAATGATGTTTTTATATAAAATGTATTATATTTGAAAGACTTTGCATCTATCAAAATCTTTTACCTTAAATTCATAAGATTTAAAATTTTATATATAAGGCCTGTCTAGGCCCTTTACGCACCTCCTCGTCATATGACGTTTCTTGGATAAACTTGGTACTCTTATATGCTCGACAGCACAAATCTTATGCACATCAGACAAATCACGAACGGCCCTAATCAAAAGAATCAAAATCGTCCAAGGAGGACCAACACATAAGGTGACTCTTAGTTAAAATCCGATAATTACAATAACGTGTAAGATATCTATAATAATTACTCATAGCATTGTGATATAATAGAAAAAAAAGGAATATGGGGTATCCATCTATGACACAAAATCAGTACTTGCACAGCAAAAAAACACACAAAAAGCAAAGGAACAATACCATCCTCCTACCCGTTCTCGTTTTATGCATTTGCAATTTAACTGTGTTTTGTCTTTCCTCTTATATACTTATGTTTCAATCAATTAAGATCCCATTTAACGGTATTCCGCGTTACTTGGTTCCAAAATAAAAATCAATTCTAATTGTGCAGAATCAGTGTTAACCCGTCATTATGTTTATTATCATCAAGATAAAAGGTCCAAAAAACTTTAAATCAAAGACCGTGTTTCACAAATAAATGGCTAAAACTGTCAGTATTCATCATTAACATTTGTCTAATGCATTATAATGACGTGAATCAATGAACTTTACATTTAATTTCGATCTATACAATGAATTTAGTGGTAACTAATAGAATTCTTCTTTATTCGAAATTAATTCTTCACAAAGCAAACTTTTCAGTGAAATTCTTTTATTGGGCCTCTTTTTAGGGATGATATCGATGGAATGGGTGCTAGGTAGCTTGCAGTCGATACTGTTTCACGCAATTAGCGGTCGATAGTTCCGCCTATACCTGAAGCTGGTGATTACAACGTATTCAATAGTGCCAAGAGAGAGGAATATATTTCATTTAATTTTACGAAACAAATATGAACAATCAAACAATTTATTTTTATTGGATTTCTTTAACATTTTCCGTTTTGTGTTTCCTTTCTAAAGGTGAGTTTTTGTTTTAATTCATTAAAGCTACTCTTTCAATATTTAAGTATAAAATGTTATAATCATAACTATTGTTAACTGTGCAATAAACCTCGGCATCGACATGATTATAATATACCTTTGGTAAAATTCTCCATTGATAAATTAAGCAATTGTTTTGAAACCCCAGTCCCAACCGCCTCAGGCAAAGCTGAATTTATGTGGATTTGGCTATTCTCTGTAGGTCCCCTTTAGTAATTTAACATCTAAAGTAATAAAGTTTTTATACATCCTTGGCTTTCATTTTTGTTTTGTTTTAGCGTTCCTGCTGAGGAGCGGTTCGGACGCACCACATTTTTTATGTGCTATTTCCATTTACAAGAACATCATACTTGCCAAACGAAAACGTTATCAAGCAATATTGCACACTAACTTAAGGTCACTTCAACGTACAGGGAATGTAACGTTTATTACTGGTTTTCATATAAAATGTCAAAAGATGAAATGACTGCATGATAATTAGTTTACAGGTTGTCTGCCTCAGCAGATTAAGTACCAATAACTAGGATGCTTTATTTGACACGGTATCATATAGTATTGTTATAAATGTACTTGTAGCTTGGTTTTTATTTTTCTGTAATACTGATTTTTGCGGCTGATCGTCCAGTGGCAATTATTTCATGCATATTCAGGACGAAATTATAGTAACAATTAATAGAACATGTATTTTTCTGCAAGATGTGGCGGTACGAATGACGGGTCGTAAATTTGGACTTCAAATGGAAAACAATTGTGAACAGAAATTTTGCCTTGATTTGTTCCAACTACGGTTCCCCCAAAGGGTTTAACATTACATTCGCTGTTTAAAGTGCAAGACAGCGTGGCACACTCTTTCTCTAATTTTCATACTTTTTTCACATGTCTCGATCGGTGTGAGAAAAATATTATTTCATGCATATTCAGGACGAGAAATTATTAACAATTAATATATAGAACATGTATTTTTCTCCTCTCTAGAGAAAACTTTGTTCTCGGAAAATGATTGGTCGAAAGTTCAATTATGACGTCAAATTTTCTTGATTTCTTCTGAATTTCCTATTGTGACGTCATGAAAAAAGATGACTATGCCTCATGACGTCACATATAAAGAATACTACTTTCTGAAAATCTTTGAAGAGGAAGGATAAACTTGTTGAGATATCGACTTAAAATCATTAGAGAAACAGATTCCACCACTTTATCTCGTGTATTATGATATTTCTCCACTCTCGACAGTTACATCTAAATTTTTTAAAAAGCTCGGCAAGCCTCGCGTTTTAAAATTTAACCGTCCCGAGTGGAGAAATATCGTAACACACTTGATGCAGTGGTGGAATCTATATTTCTCCAAGGCTTCGGATTTACCGTCCCAATTGTGACCGAACATGGCTGCGAATTTATACACCCTGCACAGCCAAACAGACTCCCCACATTGGCAAAAGGTTTTACTGCTAGTCGAAAGAAGACCATGGTGACCATATTTATATACCAAAGTAACCCTTGTGGTACTGATATTATTAAGTAATTTGCTATTTTCTTAACTGATTTTTATCGCATGTTCATGATTGTATCTTACCTTATTTGTTTGAAGATATGGTACTAAAAAATTAGCTTAATAATAATAATAATAAAAAGAAGAAGAAAAAGAATAACAACTTCCTTTATTTCAACAGAATAGCATATTAATTCCAAAGACTAGTTTACAATAAGGTCCTCATTATACATATATTACAACATAAAGTATAAATTCAATGATAAAAATTCTGATACAAATGTAAACTTTTATACTGTTATTATAATTGAACAAATCATTCTTCGATACTTTTATATGTTTTTTGTAAAGATTCAATTGCGTTACATTGTTTGAAATATGTAGACACAATGTTCCATAAAATACTTCAAGATATCAACAAGAAACGTTTATAGTATTCAGTTCAAGATTTTGAACAAAAAGAATACTACCAGTACTTTCTCTGGTTGTTCTAGACTGAATAACCTGATGCACATGTCTAAATACATTGAGTTATTCCGGAGTCGTTTGGGGAAGTACTTTTTAAAAACTAGAATTACTTTTCTATATATAAAATAATCTGGAATGGGCATTCATCGCAGCTCTCCAAAAAGTATGGTTAACCACCACACGTTAATGTATTTACAATTTTTCAAGATTGGGGATAATTTCAATTAAGCTAGACATATGACACATGACCTTTAGATAATGCCGTATATTGACCGTTAGATATCTTTTGTGTTTATTGAGTTTTATTTTGTTGTTACATTGACTCCTTATATTAATATTGAATTTAAGCCTTCACAAAAATTGTTATCTTTTACCCGATTGACTGCGAGGAATAAATTCTTCAATTGTTTGAGATTTGTACTAATTAAACATCAGTCGATGGCCGTTTGTACATTTGTATACATGGGGTAATCAGCTGCACTTGGATCCATATTGATCAAGAAACATCCCCAGTTTATGTTAATGGTGATTTTAATTTAAACTAAGATGAACATTCCAGTTTAATTTAAATTCAGAAAACAGTCTCGAACTGTGTTATTTGTACAACAGAACTATTATAATGAAAACAAGGAATAATATACATTAAAATAAAGTATTGTCTTATAGGATATCGTCTAACTATTGCTTCCTATAGTCAAGAAAAAAAAACCCGGATATAACCTATAGTAAATCGGGGAAAACTAGAGTGTTTAAAACAAAAACGAAAAAAATATTGTGTTCCGCAAGAACACCTGTCCAGATAAATACGCCAAAACCATGGTCTTTCAATGTACTAGTACTTTTTCATAACTGCTTGAAAAAAGTAATGAATCTAAAGGTTGGTCAATTAAATTGAGCTTTCCATTCGTATTTCATTTTTTTGATAATAAATGCATTCATTTCATAAAACAAAGCTTCTGCATCACTCAAATACTACTTTAAATTGTGCTTTTTGTATAATTGTCTAGTCATTGGATTCCGACAGAAAGTAATATGCATTTAAAGTGCAAACAATCTGTGACCCGATATTGGAATAAAAGTTAATTTACAAATGCTGTAAACTGTTTAACTCTGGTTTGAATTAAACTTTAATCACTGGGAATTACAAAATCTGTAAACCTTTTACCTCTGGTTTGAATTAAACTTTACTCACTGGGAATTACAAAAGCAGTAAACCTTTTACCTCTGCTTTGAATTAAACTTTATTCATTGGGAATTACAAAAGCTGTAAACTTTTTACCTCTGGTTTGAATTAAACTTTAATCACTGGGAATTACAAAAGCTGTAAACTTTTTACCTCTGGTTTGAATTAAACTTTACTCACTGGGAATTACAAAAGCTGTACACTTTTTACCTCTGGTTTGAATTAAACTTTACTCACTGGGAATTACAAAAGCTGTACACTTTTTACCTCTGGTTTGAATTAAACTTTACTCACTGGGAATTACAAAGGCTGTAAACTTTTTACCTCTGGTTTGAATTAAACTTTAATCACTAGGAATTACAAAACTGGTACACTTTTTACCTCTGGTTTGAATTAAACTTACTCACTTGGAATTACAAAAGCTGTAATTTTTTTACCTCTGGTTTGAATTAAACTTTACTCACTGGGAATTTCAAAAGCTGTACACTTTTTACCTCTGGTTTGAATTAAACTTTTTGAACTTGAAGCATTTAACATAATTATTACTTTAGTCTCCCTTAATCATAGATAAGTAATTCTAAATAATTATTAAATATACCAAAAGTAATACTCCGATATTTTTATTAATCAATTGAAATGGTACGACTTAATGGATTAAGAAAAAAACTCACAAACAACTAAAGGCATTTTTTTTTCTACACTATAAAAAGTATTTGAAAACTGCATGAAAATTAAATTTAATAATTTTTATATTATATGATAATCTGGCGCAATACCCTACAGGGTAGTCGTCATTAACCCAAAATTAGATTAGATTAATTTTTACATATAGTCGTCGCTTCATTTTTTCGAAAACAATATCATACATTCAGTTAAAAGAGTAGATTTCCTTTTGGTTTTACGAGTGGTCCATCCATTTGCAATATTAAATTTAAAAAAAGAATGCTTAAAAAGTAGATATTGCAATGTAATTTTGCAGCAAGCAATGAAAGAAAAATTAATAATACACATTAAATGAGATCGATTATAAAATCCATTTGCACTTTATTAAAACTTTTGAAAAAATTTAAACAAACCTGCAAAATGAACAAATTACGGCAAGCGAGAACTAAATACAAATTCCAACAGTTGAGGATAAAATTATAATTAAAATCATATTTTTTATTTGCAATTATTTGCTATAAATTGGAATTTATATTTGTTAAATGGTACTATATTTAGGCTCCTATTCACTGCCATATCATACAAGTCACGTAGGATTTTAGAGTTTCACATGGAATTTAATGACTGAAAATGTCTACCCTTTTTTTAAGCTGACATGACCCTTGCAATGTTTGATATATTGAGACGAACTTTTTTATTTTTGTTTGTTTTGTTTTGTTTATTTGTTTGATTATTTTTTCCTTTTTTTTATACTTTGTACATCTTTTTTATCATTTGAATTCCGCTACATTAGGTTTTGCAGGATGGGAAAGTTTTTGAACACATAAAGCTAAAAAATCCAGGACAAAATTAATTAAATAGTAGATCCTCTTTAACTAGTTTTGTGGTTATCCAATTACGTACAGAGAAAGACGCAAACTTTATTCGGGCCATCAAAACAGACAACAAAAAGAGAGGAAGTCCCAAATAAGAATTTTCACAGTTACTGGGAGGAACAAAATCATTATCTGCCGAAAAAAAAATATCAGTCAATTATAGGTCACATTGACATTGATTGATTATGACATTAAATGAGACTTATCCCCGACTTTGTACCATGAGTAACATGACGTATGCCACTAATTGAGCAGGATCTGCTTCAGGGGCAGCTGAGATCATCCCCAGTTTCTAATGTGG